CCCTCCCCGGCTACGGGCATGTCAATATTGACATTATGTGGGCCAACCCGCTCGAGATTTATAACATGAGGTCAAACGTCATGCCATTATGCATAGTAACAACGGTTCGTTTGTTTGAACCATTTTAAACTGTTGTTTAATTGGTTGATCTTTTGCGCAAAGGACGACGGGACTATTTCTGGGAAATCCGCCCTCTACAACCCGGAAGTAAACACGGAGTAAGCGGAATAGAGCAGGAAACGTTATGTTATGCTTAGTACATAAACAGGCGCATTCTTTCCGGCAAGAAGGCAGCTTACAGCTAGATCTGTGGTACACGTTTTGATTCCAAAATGCCGACTTACAAGTTGACGTACTTCAAGCACTGGGGTCGTGGAGGGGTTTTGAGGCTACTGTTCGCCGCCGATGGAATTGAGTTCGAGGACGTGCGGATAGAACGGGAACAGTGGCCGGAACTCAAGCCGAGTACGTGTTTCATATTATGTAACATGGTTTTATAGCCTCTTAGCTTGTGTATGCATGGCTGCTGTGGATGTCCAATCCCTGCCTGGGGGCGTAGTGGTAGAGCGTTCGACTATGAAAAGGCGAGACCCGGGTTCGATTCAGAGTTGTACCCAGGACATGTCTGGACGTTATGCCCTAAAAACGACTTTCCTCACTCCACCCAGGTGTGGATGGGAACCTTAACTTTTGAAATAGAATGTTATTTTCGATACATAGAACTTGATTTTAGGTAATACTGTAGACGTGAGAGTAGATGCTAGCTAGATATGTAGTACTGAAGAGTTTGCCATGCATTGTACCCGTTACAATTGTTGTGCAATAAAGATTGACTTGACTTGACCTAACGTCGGTTAAGGAAAGTCGTATTGAGGTCACCTGGTGGTGCCGAATGCGGGCAGCCGCACAGACCCTTGCGACAGTTCCTCTAAAGTGTGTGGAGCAAATATGTTATATGTATAATGTGTATTATATATGTGATTGTAAACCCTGCATCAATTCAATGCTATAAAAAGACTGCAATGTGCACCGGTAATGTTTGAGCAATAAACCATTTATTATCATTTTCATTCTAGTCTACAGTTTTACATAAAATTGTTTGAGGTTGGCAACAAGAATAAACCAAGTAGTTATATACTTGTTACGAACTACATTGATATTGTAGTTGTTCACGGATAGCCCTATGTTTTAGCTTACCAGCTTTTGTATGCCTCACAACTGCATGAGTCTACTGCACAGTATTATAACATGTTGAGGGAAGGCAGTAAAATATGCAACATGATGATATTCTCTACGTTTGAATTTTCTATTTTAAATCAGAGACTCCTATGGGACAGATCCCTATACTAGAAGTGGACGGAACCATGATATGTCAGAGGAGGGCTATCGGGAGGCTGATAGCTAAAGAGGCAGGCAAGTATCCATACACCATACTTTCATCTATAACAGTTTGTGTTTTGAATATGACGATATTTTGTATCAAGGGGAGAGATCTTGCGTTATCCAATCCATCAATCTAATAATAATCTGGTATTTTCAGCTGTTAGTCTGTCCTTTTTCCCAGTTGTATCGTATTTTCAGACGATAACCATGATTTACCGTTAGTCAGCAAAAGCAAGAGTGGAAAGAATTATTAGCCTCCTGTGCAGGCCTCGAGGCGGGTGGCAGTTTTGATACTTTTTGTAGAATTTTTAATGTGTTTTTTTTGTCAGCCATTCTACAACCGTGGCGGGTACAAACCTTCTCTGGGCGGCTGGCTGTAGGATGGCCGGCAAAAGAACGCTTTAAATATTTTACACAACGCAGTATCAAAACTCTCACCCGCCTGGAGGCCTGCACAGGAGGCTAAAATTCATTATGTTCACGGTCTAACCACGCCCTCTGTCTTTCCCGTATTGAACTGCAGGGTTGGCCGGTAAGACTCCCCTGGAAGAGGCGCGGGCCGACATGATCGTGGACGGGTTGGCTGACCTGGAGGGCAAGATAGTCGACTTCTTCATTGAACAGGACGAAAAGAGGAAGGTGGGTGTCTAAAAAAATATTTTCATTCGTTGCTTGTTTAATAACGGATAACCTATTGAATATTCAAAATGTAACGGTTTTGTACAAGTGACGTTTACTTTGATTGAGTTTTTTCTTCCTGTGTCTCTTTATGTTTTTTTTTATTATAACATTTAGTAACAAGACAGGATGACGACATACTCAAGCTACAATGCTTATGTTTGTGTCGTCATCGTTACAAAAATATATACATGTAGTCACAAATACAGAAATGCAAAGCATAAGAGCAATAAGGTAGACTAAAGTAAGCCGCATTATAACTAAATCATATAATATGTATCAAATACATAACAGTATATGCAGGTAAATGATAAGTGAGTAAGTCGGCATTCCAAGTCAATCAACAAACTGGTAGGATAAGAAATTGATGGTTACTCAAATCTTTCCGTTTCTTTTATAATCAATTGAACACATTGTAAGAGTTTAGCGTTGTTAGAAACCGACAGAGAAGAGGAACCTCTAAGCAGTAATTGTACTAGGAGATTATCGGGAAGGTTTTGGATGTTGATGGCAAATCCTACAAGTTTGGTTAAATTGCTGAAGAGGGAGACACGATATTGAGTAAACTTTGGGCAGTGCAGAAGATAATGATGAATACTTTCACAGGGGTGGCCACAAGTACAAGCAGAACTAGATACCAGGTTTTGAGAGTACAGATTAGAGTTTAGACTATGAGTACCAAGTCGAAAACGAGTGAGAAGAGCGCAGGTGTACCGGGGACCTATACTGAAGTATGAAACAGGGACAGGGCGCACAGATTTGATCATTTTTTTCTTAAAGCGTGGGAAACTCAGTGAACGGTCTGCTAAGGTAAGGTTATTCCAGTGATACGTTGCATAGGGAATGAATGATTTTTTAAAGTGGGTTGTGGTACATTTTGGCAACTGAAGATTTAGTTTATTACGAAGGTCGTAAGTAGAGGAGTCTGATACTAGGGGCGGTATTAAATCTCTTAAGTATTGTCGAGTATGACCGTAGATGATTTTATAGAATAAAATAAGAGACTGAACATGCATATGGCGGCGATCAGACATTTGTTCCCATCCCAGTTCAGTAAGTAGAGACTTATAAGAGGACCCCCTGATCGCTCCGGCTACAGTTAAGGCACACTCATATTGCATTCGTTCAATACGTTGTGAATCTATAGAAGTACAACTGTGCCAAACAACGCCGCCATATTCGAGTGAGGGCCGAATGAAAGACTTGTAAATAATTTCTAAAACTTTTCGGGGAAGTTTGAATTTAAGTTTACTAAAAGTGGAAACTTTTTTAGAGGCATTGGCTAGTAAATTGGATATATGTGTGGTCCAGGACATGGTGGACGAGAGATGAACCCCAATATGTTTGTGAGAAGAGACAGATTTAATTTGTTCGTTTCCTCTTTATGTTGATTTACATTCATTTGGCTGTTTTACAGAAATATTTTTCAGTACTTCTAAAGTCGTTTATTTGGTTTTTAGCAAGAAAAAATCAAGGAATTTGCTGAGAAAACCCTGCCGACGTTTCTGGTTACCTACGAGAAACTGGCAAGCTCCGGTGGACACTTTGTCGGAAATGCGGTAGGTGGCGCTGTATATGTTCTGTTCCTTAAATTCATTGATAAGTTGTAGATTTTCTTGTTTTAGTTTGGGTACACCATGTTCAACTGTAACAAACATAGCAGGATATTGTGTTTTGTATTTACCTTCGCAAGAGAAAAACATACTGTTTACGCCCCTTTCTCCTTCCGTTCCAAACAAATGTCAATGAAATGGACCAGGCCGATGTTACCATGATGGTAACTTGTTCTGTGGCAGACACTCTGTGGCGTTGGATCACATTATGTAGCAAGTTAAAGGGGCTGTCAGGATCTATATGAATGCGTTTGAGCTGTAGTTTGTTAGGCTAGACCATTCGAAGGTAAGCTTTGAAATGCCAACTTTCAATTTACTAATAGTGCGTAACTTCCATTATTTTCGTCCCTTCCAGCTGACCTGGGCAGATGTGGACTTCTTCGCCATGATGTTTTTCCTGAAAGATCACCTCCCGAGCGACCCTCTTCAGGGTTACGTCAACTTGAACAAGGTCAGGGACAACGTCTCATCACATCCGGGCATCGCGGGGTGGCTGGAAAAGGAGGGGGCATCGCAGTGAATTCTGGGATAGCCTGGAGCTAGCCCCTTTTCGTGCTTCATTTGTATAATCTATGAGGAAATGCTAAAATAGTCTTATTTCTCAAGATAAGACTGTCATTGGGTGAATATGATCAACTGATATAATAAATGCAAATGAGAAATTGTTATTTGCATAAGCACAGTAAAAATGGCTCCCTCCCTCTAGAGGTGACATCTCTGACAGACACACCAGACAGAGACACCTACTGTCCACCCTTAGAACAAGAACAAAACGTTTTCAGAACAGCCCGATTGTTTATATGACCCACCTTTTAAACAAGCAGTAACAGTGTTGGCCAACAGTACGTATGATCATGGAACACTTGAGACTTGTATATATCCGATTTGTATATATAATGTAGGTTTTAAAATCACTTCCCTTATTACTTTTAATGTGGTCAAGTATGTACTTTTAAGCGTATTTTTAAATATGTCATTGTTGTAAAACACGCAATTCAGCCTGTGGCTGCCATGTGTTTTGGACGAATAAACCTTTAATTCATTCATTCATTCATTCATTCAAAATGAAAAATTAGTCAGTTTGAACGGTTTACATGATTTGTCAAATGTATGTGGTCGTGGCAGTCTTGTTTTGTATGAAGCTTGAAAATGAAACTTGAAAATGTAGCTTGCATATAACCACCAATATCATACCATGTCCATGTCAAGTGATAAGAATTCCACCATTGTGTTGCGTGTTACTAGGGGCCATGTTAGTATTTTGCATGAACATTTTGCTTATGAGCAGGATTGTTAATGTAAGCCATTTACAGGTGGCCATCACCATGCATAAGATTTACAAAAGCACTAAACATTTCATGGAGGTATGAGATCACCGAACTCTAGTTTTGTTTGTTTCATTACTATCTCATTTTGTGTTACATGAATTTTACATTAATCCACCCGGAGACCGCAACAATATAGTTTAACTGGGAAGAGCGGCTAAGGCCGACAGGGCATTTCCAGTATAAATAAAGGGTATTGATTGGTTGATTGATTGATTGATTTAATGCAATGCAAGGAACAAAAACTTTTGACGATTGTTAGACAGAAAATAAACAAAATCAAATACGGTAAACTTGAAAATCAGCAGGAGATATCAACAGAAAATTGAAATGCTATAATCAATAAAGAAATAGAATAAACAGATGAAAAAAAAGAATTATTTTGTGCTGGTTTATCTTATGATTACTTGAAACACCCAGGGTAAATGTTTTTTCCAAGGACAGTCCTATATGTGCAGAGCATAGCATTTTTCTGCCGTCAAACAAATTTCTGATTA